AAAAGTATTCCAAAATGCAATTTTTTGCTACCTCACTAGCAATTTCAAGTGCGTCTGTCTTCCAGGACAAGGCTGGTATGACAGACGGGGATCGCGGCATACACTAATATGTGTGTATATATGTTTTGTCACTCACACCTGTAATTAAAGAATAGTGTTTTAGAAGCATGTCAGTATACAGATATAACCTTTAAATGTTTTAATGTCACTACTTATACTATTATCTCCTCTTACAGTCAATGTTTTATTTATTTGTTTTAATGCTCTCTTTTAATATTGTTACTATGTAAGTATATCCATCAATCCATCATTATGTTTTATTTGTTTCTGATGGAAGGTGTATGTATAAACTGAATCCATTTTTAAGCAGTGTATAAAACATTGCTGCCTGAACAGCAATGACACAACTGCCAACGAAGCCCAACACACGTTTGAAACCACTGCTCTTAGCCATAACTGAATCACAAAATGTGCATGCAACAAGTTAGCGCAAGCCTGTCCACTTTAGCAACGGAACCCAACATGCTAACACTATCAAACCTTTTAAAACAAGTTGGAAAGGTTAATATATAAAATTAGTAAAATAACTACCATGGTTACCAGCCAGCAATGACTTAATTTGAACAATAATGTAACCTAACCCATCCAGCCTGCAGGTGCTACCATGTGACGTGACCTTGCGATGTATTCACAGCATAAATACCCTCGGCTATAAACTACCATTGGAACATTAATATATTCCTGAACATAACTTTGCCCTTACAGTCGTTTTGGGGAAGTCTGATAGAATGTTGGAAAAGATTTTCCAGGCCTGGAAAATTGCTCAACTGTTTTCCGGATTTTCCATGACAGATGGGAACCCTGATTTTTGCATTTATTTAGAGAGAATTCAGTTGATAGGTAACATGCAACAAAGGGCACCGTCACTACCATTTCTGGCCCAGTTTTTCTTAGACGTTCAACATGACTGAACCGGATGCCTCTTCTGCCACAGCAGCAGGTGAGAATCATTCAAACTGTGACAGATAACCGGCTGATGATGGATGATATCTGCACTGACAGGCAAAGCCAAGCGTCTGACCTACCTGATTATCATTTCTACCTCTCCTGTTCCCTCCTCTTTGTCTCGAAGTGCGTCTACTCTGACGGCTTCCACCTCTAAAGGCAGGTCTCCCTCTGTCCGTCCGTTGATGCTGAAACCTGTTATTGTAGCCAGCGTGATCACTGCTGCTACTGTCTCTGTTGAAGCCAACACTTGCATGTTCACTAGAAGTGTTATGCCTGTGGTGGTTGGAGTCAACCGATGAGGCGTGAGAAGTCCTGGTTGTCTGGACTTTGTGACATTGTTTCTGTGGAAAGAAAATTCAAAGAAGTTAAATGTGGAGGGAACGTAGATGTTTTCCAGTCCATAAATACAAATTCATTTTATGCAAACAAGAGGCATACCCCATATAACTTTAATCACACTCAGTTGCAGTTATACGAAGATAAAATGGAGTCTATTACAACATTACTGCAATAAAAGGCTTTAAGAGAGGTACCAATTAAACTAATGGTTATTTTGAAGGCTGTGGTTTGTAGGGCCGTTGTTATACTGAGAGGTGTCCAATTTATATCAATGACAGGACAGTAATTAAAGTTGAGTGCAGTATCAGACTATTTAAATCATATTTACTTAATAGTAGTTTATATGATTTTCCTGATCTTTATTATTAGACTAATGAAACATTGAATTTATGATAGGATTTGTTTTCCCTTCAAGATCCTGGTGACTTTTACAGTTCAGATATGAATGGATATAGCACCTGCGTCCCCCATCCCCTATTTGAACTTCTCTTCATAACATTTGAAATCTTCAATCTTCTTTTTCCAATTCACCTCTTTCGTTTGTATATTAAAGATCTTGAAATATGTTGCTTGTCTCATTTTATGGATTATATATATTTTTTAAAATCTTTTATCAATTATTTATTTAGGTGTGCATTAGACAACACTCACTAACAAATAAAACACTGAACTTACAACCAAGGTGATTATAGTCAACTAAAACTAGTGTACTTACCAAACAAACTGAGGAAAAATACAAATATACAGGAGATGTCTTTAGTTTTATTCTTTGTCAATTTGGTCAGATTTGTCAACACAACAAGCACGAGGAGGCATTGGTGCGTATGTTTATGTCTACATGACTGTGAGTCATGTGTTTGTATTGTTAATACCTACACTGCCCCTGACAAATAAACTTATGTTAAACTGAAACGAGCAAGCCCACTCTGAATGCAACTTAAGTGAAATTAAACCGAATTGAACACAAAACTTAAAAATGAAATAAAAAGAAAAACTAATGAAGAATACAAACTAAGTTATAATCACTCATCTTACAACCTTCATTAGGGTAGGGGGTTATTGCAGGGCTGAATTAAACTGTATTAGAGTTAGCTCACAGATCTAAAATAATGCTGAAACCTACAACTTTCTATCTGATGTTAGTGTCCAAAAGAGATTCACTATTAAATGTGACAGCTGATAAATCACAAAGTGCGAGCAAAGACACAAAGTTCAAGTTCAACTCACCTTTTGATGGGGGCCAGCCTGCTCCCCCTGGGTCCTCCTCTTTCCTGCACAGCCTCTTTCACCACGCTCAGTCTCGTTCCTATAAAACAGAGTAACGATGTAACGTTAAGTAACGTTAACATGAAAGCCATTAAAACAGAACTGCTGCTTCAAACACACTCAATCCATCGTTAAATACCTGTGTGTAAAGGCGTGTTGACCAGGGCTCCTAACAGCTTCTTCGACAGCAGACAGTCTCGTAAACAGATTCGCGAAAGCCATTTTAGTTTACTCGTCGTTCGTTATATTATTACTCGTTGTGGAAAGACTCGTAGCCGAGGATGTGAGCACGCAGTCAGCAGCTATCAGCTCAAGTTAAACACAAACGCTGGATGAGTTTGAGTCGTTGTTATGGATACGTCCATGGATACGTCCATGGTTCTAGTGCTCTAAGGTCGGCTTCATGTGCGTTCGTAACGTCACTCCGTCGTTTTACCTCTTCTTCCGTGTTTCAGACAAACGTCACCTCCCTGGACTCTACCAAATATGGACAGATGGGGAGGGGGGATCCTGACACCTGGCGCCACTTAGTGGTGAAGTTTTGTATTGTCTGGTAAACCGGTAGATCATATACAGCTTCTCTTAAACCTGACAGAAACTCACCTTGATTATCACAAGTACACACCTAGTTGCTGTTTTTCTGAAATCATTTGCACTGATTGATTTGTTTTATTTTTTACTCAAGTCTTTAGGGATTCAGTTGCAGCTCGGGCTGACATAGGAACTTCCTTAATATTATCTCTAATAGCAAAGAGATGTGTGCGCCGGTACTCTTCTATGAGGACGATAGACCTTTTTTACTGCAGCCACTTTGACATTAAGTAGTAGGGTGCACACAGGTGTTACTAATGATACTAATTAAGGTTCAGTTCCATTCATGTCAAACAGAGTCAGATTGCTGCTATAATGTGCATGTTGCCTCACTGGTAAGGCTCTGCTACACTAAATGGAATGGGACCTTAATTAGTATCATCAGTGCCTGTGGTTACCCTATTATTTTATGTCAAAATGGCCACCGTGGAAAACTGTATATTACAGCTTAAACCATCTGTCAGTTACAAGCTTCATGGAAGACATTGTGAAATGTAACGGTAGGAAAAGGTGTAAATAATAAAATGATCATGGCTGAATTCCATTTAGCTGCTGCAGTTTCAGGGTCCTGGTATTACATATCATATCCACTTATACAAATAGAAATAGACTCATCTAAACTTTACCCACTGTATATTCATTAAACAAAAACACTAAGAAACTACATAGCCACAGAGCATGTTAATAGCCAATGAATCCACCTGTGTTAAGTGCCTCTTTTCTGTTTATTGACATTTGTTTATTGTAAAATCAGTCAGTCTTTCTACAAACCAGTGGTACATGTGATGACTGACTGACTTTTGTAAGTGACTTGCTCATGTTTCTCTTCTTAAATACCCACTCGCTTCTTTAGCCCATCAGTGCCAAGTTTACTAAATACATTTGTTTGGATTTTTAAAAATGCTCTGTGTTGTCCCATGATTTGTTGGATTATAATTATCTTCATTTGTCATGTGTTGCCCTGTGATGAAACACCTTAAAATCTGGAAACACTGGGACAAGGTTCTAGTCTGTGGCATATTAGACTGTTGTCTACTAACCCACAACAAAGTCTTCCATTCAGATGCTTCAGTGTATAGTTACAGACAAAACTATGCCAGTTGATATAGTTGCACAGCAGTTTGTGTCAGAGCATCTAAATGTGGCAAAAGATAAGAAAAAGAAATGTTAGAAACACACTTTTGGATGCCTACACACACACACACACACACACACACACACAGTGAGTATTTAGATGCAGTTCTCCTCAGTATCTCATTGACCAAAACACTGTATCTCATTGACCAAAACACACCTAATATGCAGTTTTTCCCTAAAAGAATTAACTGTTATGAGCTAGTTTTGAGGTTTCAGTGGTAAATTCTACCAGATGTGGGAAATAATTACTGTATGATATTAGTATTTTTATTAATGTGCTGATATATAGAAACCAGGCTCAGCAGGGCACAGAGGTGATGTTCTTTAATTCTAAAGCAAATTGACTCTATCCAGTTTGCTACTGTGTGTTACTGTCGAGGGAGATCAACTCTTAAATGAATGGGATTAAAATGTAATTTAATCCCCTGGGCTGTATGATCAACAAGCACACTCATCATCAATCAGCAAAGACTGATAAAAGCTCAGACATGTCAAAAAAGATGAGATAGAAGTTGGACTTTGTTCCTCCACATATGAGGCCGTCCCTGCGTCTGGCTCAAAGTTCAGGTCACGCACACAGTTTCAGTATTGCCTCTGTGACTGTGTTCGTGTTTCCCCTCAGTCTCTGAACTCTAACTCTATTCATAGTGAGCTACAGGATGATCCGTTGGACCCTTCTTGCTCCTGTCCTGCTCCTGCTGGGCCTGTTCATCCACAGTGCTCTGAGTCAAGAGGCTGAGGACCCAACAGCAGCAGCACCACCACCGGGCCAGGCCACTGATGGCACGCAGGCGGAGGCCGAGAGCGAGGACTGGGGATTAAACTCCCTCAGAGGCGGCTTTGAGTCAGTCGGCGGCTACTTTGACTCCGTGCTGGAGTTCATGGGCGGACGTGATGGAGTGTGCCAATACCGCTGTCGATATGGTAAGTCAGATAAATGGATTAGTAAGCATTACACTCTATGGTTAGTATGGTTTAGGGTTAGAACAATGCTAATATGGACCTTTTATCAGCCAGTGTGGTTCAAACCATGGATGTATCTTTCTGGTTATTCTTTTTGGCAAAATATTTTGGAATTTAATCTTGATTGAAAGGAGGAAATGTATTACAGTTTCACAGTTTCCCCTCAACATTGATTACATGTGGTGTGAAACTCTGCTCATGCTGGAAAGCCACATGAAATTATATCCAGATTTAGAATTAGGAAAATTATTTGAATTTGATTTAGAATAGGTTTAAATATTCACACTCCTTTGATTGATCAAAGCAATGCTGTTTAAATTAGCTGTATTATTACTGTTAAGATATATATACTCAATGGATAATACATTCATATCATATCATAAATTTAAGGAGCTGCGGTCTGGAAATTGCCTGCTTGAACTAACAATGCAACAATTAAAACCCAACAACAAGAATGTGCTGACACTTAATAGGATTGACTACTTCTTATACTTATCATCTTTGTTATCATCTGGGAGAGGGCCTGGAAATGGACTGTGACCCCAGCATGATAGGAGAGGTTTCATGTGGTGACTGGAGAATGTGTCAAATATCATGTGAATGGATATGCACCCAGTACGTAACCTCTGTGTCTCTATGTGCAAACCGTGCAAACACTTCTGACACATTCCCATTGGCCTGTTGTGAAACATGACATCTGATATTTTGCTTTCCTTCCCCTCCTCTCAGGTAAGGCTCCTCTTCCTCGTCCTGGCTACGAGATGCCACAACCTAATGGGTGTAGCTCCTACTTCTTTGGTCTTCCTGTTCCAGAAGGGGTATGCATCTTCTGTCTGTTTAGGGCAAATTCATTTTGATTTATGTAACATGGAAATGTAATCGATACTCGTATAAAAAAGCCAAATCTAAGGGACTGTACAAAAATGATTAGTGTGGGGGAAGTGGGCAAGAACTTGTGTTTGACTTTTCAAATACATTTTTAAAAAAACCACTAACCTTGACCCTGACCCTGACCCTGATATCTGAACTTAGCCCAGCTTTCAAGCTAAACATGTTAATGAAACAATATTTTTTACCTTGCCAAAACTGCACATAAGTGCAAACAACTGCCAAAATTATGGTAAACATAACAAATGGTGCATGTTGTTTATCGAACATTTCAGTGGCTATTTTTGAACAAAGAACAACTGAAAGATCAATTATTACTGACACTGAATAGGTGCACAGAGGCAAAGTTATGGCGACTGCTAGTTAGTGAAATAATGGTCTGCACCTTAGAAATAATGTTCAATCCCGACTAAATATTACGATCTATGTCTACTGTTGCTCAAAACTGACATTATGGTCCCACTAGGTAAGTGTATAATCAAGTCCCAATACAAAGACACACCTCTGGAAAACATCCCTTTATGGACCATGGGGCAAACAAATGGCATTTTGGACATAACTATTTTGAAGTAATTTTTTTTCTATTGGTTGTCACAGTAAATAATGAAATTAAAAATAAATCTGGGGAAAATAAATCCATAAAGACCCTGATCCCCTTTTCTGACCCAACCTTCTAATCATTTTTATACAGTCTCTAAATGTCCAGAGAACTGAACATACATATGATTGAATAATGGAGTCACTTTTTAGTGTTAAGCAAAACTAACCCCCTGTGAACCCCCCACACTTGCGTACAAACACATTAATCACCTGTGTTGTGTTCCAGATGGACATGGGCATCCCTGCCATGACCAAATGTTGCAATCAGCTGGACATGTGTTACGACACCTGCGGCTCCAACAAGTACCGCTGCGACTCCAAGTTCCGCTGGTGCCTCCACAGCATCTGCTCTGACCTCAAGAAGAGCCTTGGCTTTGTGTCAAAAGTAGAAGGTCAGTAACCCTTTAACCTTTTAGAAAACCTGCTTCTCCATAAAGTTTAAAGTCTGTGTAAAGGAAATTCTGTGATTTCTCTTTAAACACATTATGTGTCATAAAATAGTTGTTGAAAACAGTACAAGACTGGGAACTATGTGGTACTGAATTGTGGCGTATCAATGTTTTTCTCTTCTTTACCGTTTTTGGTTTTGGTTTTTTGGGCGGGGCTAAAAGTATGGCTCGATGAAGCACTGGAGCCACCTGTACAGTATAAAAGCGTACTGCGCACTAACATCGGTGGTTCTCCCGCTCATTATTGAGTCACTACAACCGTTTCATGTTATTAGCCACAGCCATTGCTAGCTAGCTTAAGTATGCCATTAACATTACAATTGAAGGCTTAAGGTTATATATAAAACCTAAGATCCAAACGTCCCCTAAGACGTGTCCTAATACAAATGAGTAAAACCTGTAAAGCACTAATTCAATGAAATTAACTGTTGGATGAGTAAATTACATTCCCAACACAATGACCTTCTTTTGTACAAATTGCTCTGTGCTGAATGTTTGTTTCTCTGTCACTTCCTGTCCTCAGCATGTGAAACGGTAGCAGACACCTTGTTCAACACGGTGTGGACTCTGGGCTGCAGGCCCTACATGAACAGCCAGAGAGCAGCTTGCTACTGTCAAGGAGAGGAGAGAGATGAACTTTAGATTGAGATATGAACCACTCTAGACAACTCCACAACTAGAGCAACATATCAGATGATGGTGCTCTGAGTTACGGTGTTGCAAAGACTGCGGTGTGACTACTTGAGTAATTTATTTGGAAGTTCTTCTTCTGGTATTGTTCATAAAGTCATTATTTTATTTTGCAACTAAATTTGGATGCTAAATGAACTTTTAAATTGTTTAAGCTGCAAGCCAAAACTGCATGTTTGTCTGTCGGAGTGCATAAATGCTGCCTGTAGTGCCGATATTAGCCCCAATAGTTAGCAATGGTATGTGATTTGGAAAAGGAAACATATCTGTGGTGTGAACTCCACTTTACAATGCATAGATAGCCTCATGTTTCAGACTTAGAGTGTGTTATCATGTCTTTCTAAGTCGACCGTATGAATAAATGGTATTGATACACATGAATGTAATTGTTTGATTTCATGGTATACTAAAGCAGGATTCATTACCCAGAGGTCCTCAGATCAGTACACGCCATTAAACAATCCACTACAAATCCAGTACTTGGTACAAATATTGGTTTAAAAATGTGAGACAAACTTCTGATACATTTATTTTTTAGTTTAGTTAATTATTTAATAAGCAGCTATTGAATTCAAGGCATCTAAATAATAAAACTAAAAGTGTGTGGAAACCTGAGCTACTGCCCTAATACAGCCAAAATAACAGAGTCCTATATTCATTAACATTGTAAGAGATTGGTAAATTGAGATTGCAAAAGCACAAAGGAAGATGGACATTTCAAATCCAGTTAAAAAAAAATGATGTTAAAATGGTAAAAATAATTTTCAGTCAATTAGTAGGATATTGAGCCGGAGGACTTCTTTGATAAAACATGACACCTAGTAGCAGCTAATGTAGCTCAACATATGCAGTAGTAGCAGACTGACGTATAAAACAAATTATGCCTCAAACCTCACCAAGCGGATTAATTCATTAGTGTTTGTGTCAACAGCATACACATTTGTATTTTATCAAAGGCTTCATTATTTAGTATGGGAAGGACTGTGTGAATGCAAAATACCAGGACCTGACCAATATTACAGCCTTAACATATATATATATATATATATATTCATCAACAAATTAAGACAGAGCCTACGAAACACATTTTGCTTAATCAAATTTATACAGTATCAAGAGAAAAAAGGCAGAATAGAAACAGTTACAAAGTTAGTGATATTCACAGAAATGAGTAAAACCGGTTTTAACGGAAACTGGCAATTCATTGTACGACAATATTCTTTGGAAAAAGATTTACTTGTTAGAGTTTGAGAAGTAATTCAGTACAAATCTGGAAATGTGACTAAAATACTAAATGGTCCTGTTACACTCTGAACTGTGTGTATGTAAATGATGAATGTTGAACACGATGTCCACATGGGCTCGCAGCAGCTTCAAATTAAAAACACTCATGGCCCTCCACAAATCTGTGGAAAAATGAGAAAAAAATGATAAATGTGACAGACCAAATGGAGGTTACTCACTGCTGCTTACAAATGTACATTTAAATCAAACAGTTCATAAGGAGTTTAATTCAAAAACACCATCCATTTAACCCTGTAAAACCCAGATATAGAAA